AGGAAGGAAGGAAGGAAGGAAGGAAGGAAGGAAGGAAAGAAGGGGGGAAGGAGAAGGAAGGATGGAAGGCTGAGTCAACCCTGAGCCGGTGAGATTTGAACCGCTGAACTGCTGATCTAGCAGTAGCCTGCAGTGCTGCATTTAACCACTGCGCCACCTTGGCTCTTAAGTTACAGTGGCCCTGAAAAATGTGACTTATGGCCATTCTTCACACAACCATTCCTTCACCCCCATAATCACATGATCAAAATTCAGATTGCCAGCAACTGACTCATATTTATGAGGGTTGCAGTGCCCCAGGGTCATGTGATCACCTGTTGTGACATTCTAACAAGCAAAGTCAATGGGGAAGCCAGGTTCACTTCATTAAGGTTATTAACCTAATGCAGCGATTCACTTAACTGTGGCAAAGGAAGGTTGTAAAATGAGGCAAAGCCCAATTAACAACCGTCTCATTTAGCAATGGAGATTTTGGACTCAATGGTGGTTGTAAGTTGAGGACTACCTGTAAAGAATGATATGTCAGGACATTGTCGCTTTCCCCCTATTACTTCCTTCTGCATGAAGAAATTGGTGGATCTCAGCTTTCTGAAATCAGTTTGAAAACAAAGATATGAGCCCCTGGAAAGATGGTTTATCTGTCAGATCCACTCTTTCCCCCCATTGAAGCCCTATTTCCTCAGAGTAACTTGATATCTGCTGCATTAGTCTGCATCACTGCAGGGAAAGTGGTGACTATGGATGATGAGCATTAGAGCTGGTCCCAATCTCTGGGTTCATTTCTTGGTTCTAAAAGTAACGTTCTCCACCGTGGCAACTTTAAGGTGGGTGGATTTCAATTCCCAGAATTCCCCAACCAGCAAGCCCTTGCTGGCTGGAGAAATCTGGGAGTTGAAGTCCATCCATCCTAAAATGATTATTCTAAAAGTAATTTGGGATATGGCTGAGTTAAACAGGTTTCCAATGACTTGGTCATGCCATGTACAGTAGAACCTCTGATCACGAACGTTTCTGGCCATAACCAAACCGACCAAATGTTTTTTTAAAAAAATCTTTTTCCCCCGCAGTTAATTTCCCCTTTTGTGCCATTTTTTTGTAAGTGCCAAATTTCCAAAATTTGGTTTGGGTCATGACCAAATCGGTTTGGGACCAAAGTTATGGAATGAATTGTGACCAGAGGTTCTACTCTATTCTGCTTTTGTTATTGTTAGGACAGCTACTACTATAGAGACCAGTGCATGAGTTAAGTCACTTATTCAACCTGTCAGAGCTGAAAGTCTTTACGGACTTCAATTTCCGTAGACACAGCGTGGTAGAATTACCGTCGGCTACTACTGTTGGTCACAACAATTTTTCCTACTTATTGTAAATTTGAGCAATTGCTAAACAAGGCAGTCAGTAAGTGATGACTACCTCTAGATTTTTTAGAGAAAAATGGTCACTGAATTTTAGGGTAGAAGAATATTTTCCCCACTCCATACCCCATTCTTCTTTCCAAAAGGTAGAGTGTCTTTTTGAGCTTTCTTGTATTTATCTTTTCTGGTCAATGTTTGGCATTTTTGATATTAAGCACATCCTCACTACCTTCTTATCTTTCATTTGACAGGCCGCAAATCAGGAAAAGGCTTTTATCTTTACAAGCAAGGCGTAAAGAATCGGGATGTCAACAGTGGAATGAATGAAATTCTAGAGAAATTCAAAATAGTTGCCAACCCAGAGGTGTAAGTGGGATGATAAGAGAGTTTTCCTAAATAGATACAGGATTCCAGAATAAGACCTGATCGTTGGCTTTAATTATTCCCTGCATGCATATAAATTCATAATAGTTGCCGCATTGACTTAGAACATTGTCCATTTAGCATAGGGGTGCCAAACATACTCGCTTTGTCACAGCGTCATCATGTGATGTATCGTGATTATTTTTCCCCTCGCTAAACTGGGCCTGGGCCTGGCCAGCACTTGACGCATCCAGCCCGCAAGTTTGACAGCCCTGATTTAGCACAATTTATTTTACTCTAACTGGCAATATTTCAGATAGATGGAGCTTTTCGTAAAATTTGCTGTCAGAAATCTTTACATATTTTGCATGCAGAACATTTCAGAATTGAGCTGGGATCATCTGCATTGAAAAGCATTGAAAGCCTAGTCCATTAGTTTATATGGTTCCCAATATAGTATTACCAAATGCGGGAGAAGTGGAATTGTCTCTGGTGTGAATGGACGACCCCAAAAGCATCATCATTTGAGCATACATTCAAAGAAAAAATTACTAGCTCCAAAATTAGATGAATATTCCTTTGATATATAAATCCATATCCATGTTGGTTTTCTCCTAAGTATTGCAAATTTATATTTTCAATTGGATCCTAGTCTGCTTTCAACCTGCCCCCCCTTCTGCAAAATACAAAAAAATAGGCTTTTGCCATCACCTGTTTTCTAAAATCCAGTTAAAATGAAGATTGCTGAGAATTATCAGCCCTGCCACTGGATATTAGTCCCCACCCTTCTATGTCACTGGCTTGTGCCTCTCTGTTTCAGCTGCTGTGTTTCTGATCTAGCTGTGAGGATGGTTAATGAATTGCTGCTTCCCTTCCCAGGTCCACAGGGAAAGATATCCAAATGCGTTTGGTGACTAGATTTGTGAATGAAGCCATTCTGACCTTACAAGAGGGCATCCTCAGCAATCCTGTGGAGGGGGACATTGGAGCTGTATTTGGACTAGGCTTTCCACCATGCCTGGGAGGTGAGTTTTGTCATTTCGCAAGGAATTAAGCAACGACTTTTCTATAGCCAAAGGGTTGGAAACAATAATGGAAAAAAATCTTACAAGCACCTTTGGAAGTGGTAATAATTTGGGCTGCATTTTTTTTCAATTGGTAATGTAGAATTGGTAGGAGGATTGCCTCGTTCCACAGTATAACTCCTTCCATAAGGAAATACTTCTTGAGCACTTGCAAATAGGCATTAAATATTCAAACTACGGAAATCTTTCTTAGCAGCAACAATGCAATTTTAGCAACCTTGCAGAAGCTGGCAATAGCTGAACTATGGTTCCTATCCTTGCTCTCCAGAGATAAGTAGAGGCATCCTGGTGTCCTCTGAATATGCTGAACTGCCCGGAGTCCTCCGGGATTGGGCGGCCTATAAATAAAATTAAACTTGAATTAAAATTAAACTTGAAACTTCAGGCCATTCAGTTTGCTGTGTAAAGTTCTCTGTGGCTCCAGAGTTTGTAAGATCCGGCGCCCACAGTTACATAGTGAATGTATCCATTCGTTATTCGCCTTCCAAATTATTTTTTATCACATACCTACAGATACATTAATGCTTGTAACCAAGGTATAATGGCAGTTGAGGCCAGCATTATGAAGTAGTTTTGGCATAAAACCCCATTGTTTAGGAAGTCTTACCTTCTCCTTTTCCTCCCTCACTTCTGTGAATGTTGTTGCAGGCCCCTTCCAATATGCAGACCACTTTGGGGCCCAGCAGCTCGTAGACTTCATGAAGAAGTACGAAGATGTCTACGGGTGTCAGTTCACACCATGTCAGTTGCTGCTTGACCATGCCAAGGACTCCAGCAAGAAATTTCACAAGAGAATTGCCTGAATTGGCATCTGCTAACCAAAAAGAAAAGGGGAAGACCCACAAGACATCTTCGTATCGGAGGGCTGTGGGTTTTAACTCTTTTAAGTGCCTTAGTTATTTAGGCACTACTACTTCCTGGCCCACCCCTCATCAGGCTGAATGTTGATTTCCCCATTATCACGAGAAAGAATGGGGAGGTTTCTGCTCAAAGTAATTCTGCTCAAAGTATGGTACTTTTCAGGCCCATTACAAGGAACTACACATCGGAAAACAGATGTAGCTTGCAGAAAATTCATAAGAATAAATTCTAGTGTATTGTTCTGTACATAATTTTGTCATTCATTCGGGGTTAGAACTGCTACTGAAGTGTTGTGTGGCTAAAACAAGGTTCAGTTGAGGCTGAAACCTCTGAGGGATTCTATGCTCTAATAAGATTAGTTTATCAAAGACCATTTGAAGATCTCCAGAGCAATCTGGAGAGCTCACCACTTATTATAAGTCTCCAATAAATCTGAGAACGCAGGAATTTTCAGCATGGAGTCGGGATTTTGCTAGTACTACTAGAGTTCATGAAGTTTTACATACAATTTTTGTGCTATATCCAGGACAAAACACAAATTATGCAAGATTTGCACAGAATATATACATGCATCAAAGCAAAAACATGCTTGTAAAAATGAGTGAACAAGCAAAAGCTATTAAGTGGGCATGCATTAGTTCACAAAATAATACCTTTTTGTTCATCACATTCCTCTAGGACTCATTTTTATTTTTTTTTCTTATGCATAAATACAAGGTTTTAACATTCTATTTTTATTTTTTTCAGAAATGCTTTGTAATGTAGAGCTAACCTTGACAATATAGTGTTGGAGGCAATTAAATTCATTGGGGTGAGCTTGTAGCTTGAGGGCATCAATAGGCAACTGGAGTGTATTGGCAAACCATGTTGAAGACATTTAAGTTAAATGAATGGAAGTTGCCCAAGGATCTTTACTGAGTGGAACTTCCTAACTTACACAAAAACAATCTAGGTTGGAACTGAGGAAGCACATGATACAGCATTATTGAAGAACGGTTTTCAAATTGGGGGGAGGGGGGGGGCTGCTAAGAGCTCCAAAAGCATCCAAATTAGGACAATCAGCATTACAATCCAAAAGTAATTCCATGTATGGAAATAAACACATGTCAAAATACTGAAGCAGATGAAGGCATCTTTCTCCAGCCAGATGCTTTAAATAAAACAAATCAGCCTTCAAGGGATGAGGATCCAGCAGACTTTGCCTTATTTTGTATGTTGTCAGTGGGGAGGGGGAGGGGAAGCCTATTTTTTCAGTGCCAGTTGCTGGGGAACATAAGCAGGAGTGCAGTTGTGTGTTAACCTTACTTGAAAGCGTCCTTGAGGCTATCTCATTGTGTGAAGACACTTGGACAAGAGAGGCTCTTAATCTGATGTAGCATGATTGCTTTGGTTCGTTCTCTTCCCATTTTTGTTGAAACTAGCTGATACTCTAGTAGTTGCTGTTGTATGACAGCAACTAAAGTCTCCAGCCTCCTCCGGTCTGCAGCCCACTACCAGGTCTTGAGTCATTCAGAATTGCTGCAGAAATGACCTAGCATGTGTGCATCCCTACTTGTGCAAATAACAGCCATGCGCATGCATTCTCCATTTTCACCAGCATGTGCTCGCCGCTCACATGGAACCATCCCCTCTCCTGCCCAGGCCAGAAAGGTTGGGAAACACTGCTATAACAGATAATTCAGTTTCTTTCTGAGTAACATATTCTAGGCACACATTTTTAAATAAATGTTTATTTGATTATTGCAGTACTAAAAGTAGAAATGAATACATTGAACTCCTCTAGGCTTAAACCATTTAGCCCCATTTTCAGCTAAAAACAATTGTGAAAGTTGTGGTCGTCTTAGGAAACAGGCAGTTGCTGCTGAAATGTGGAAAACTCGAAAGTAGTAGGCAGGCAATAACACAATGAAATTGCCAGGAGAAAGGAGGAAGATTAGTAAAATATTCCTAGAGATTTACAGGGGGAGTTGTTGTTTTTTTAAAAAAAACCACCAACTGCCTATACATTATACTAAGGTGCAGTAAATAACTGCCATTCCCCCCTCCCCTCCCAAAAAATCACAGACACCTGGTTAGGTATAGTAGGAGCAAATTACATGAAACTGTCACTGGGTGCTAGGGAATTTCTGCATAGGCAAAACTAGGCTGCCCAGATATTCCATAATTTTAGTGCAGAAACATGAAATTTAAGGCGCACACAGTTGTTACGGTTTTAGCCCTTTCAGCAGTGCAAAGGTGCTTTAAAAGTTCAAGTGTTTAGGAAGGTGGCCTTAGGCAGTGTCCGTGTTCTGTGTAAGAAAGAGCAGAATCGTCAAGCTTTTACAGCCCTGCAGCCCTTTGAATTGCAGGTGGGTAGACACCACTGTCAGCATTACAAACTGATTTTGCAGAATTAGCACTTCTAGATGACTCTAAAATCCTTCGGTTAAGCCCATTCGTTTTCTACATGCAGGATGCTTTCTCCATAGGGCAACACTGAAATTCGCCTGCAGGTGGAAATAGGGCTCTAAGCAATGTTGCGAAATACAAATTGACACACTGACATTTTAATCTAGACCCCGGATTAAGGATCAGGGTTTCTAGGGCAGAGATTGCCAGGTGAGTTCTATCCAAACCTCTTTCAGATATAAAGTTGCCTACATCTCATGCCAAAGGCTTAAGTATAAAACCTTGTGAGGGCATTTGGGGAAAAGAAATGCTGATAAACTTGCTGTGTGTGTGGTATGTGTGTGATAAGTCACTGCTGTTACTTTTCCTTCTATATCAAGAGCCCCCCTCAAATTGATTGCCCCCAAACAACCATAAGGCTATGTATTCATTACCTGTCCCTTACTAAAACAAACCCATCTCCAAGCTAATATTACATGAAACAATCAGAAGATGAATAGGTATGTTATCACAGGAAAAGTAGGCAGCTTGGCTCTGGTGATTCTGAGACTTGGCCAGAAAGGGAACATGTAACCCTCTTCCCACAAATTGGCTATGCTGCTTTCCTCTTTTCCACACTATCAACGCAAGAAATTACGTAAGGCAATAACTCTCCTTGCTAATCTTGGCACAATGACTATCAATAGGAACTCATCATAAACTCATCATTCACATGCAACTGTTGAGGCTTCTGTTTTGCTCTGGTTTCTAATTTGCTCATTTCCGTAAAAGGAAATGTGCACCTTCTTGCCAATTTCTTGTGTTTGTTTGTGGTTAAAACACAAAATCCTGCGTTGCTCTTGGGTTCATATCTTGCAATCATTTTCGAGATAACGATACCTGCTTTGGCCTTTCTCCAAGTTTTATACTTGGGGGACAGCCTGAATCTAACTCCTGCAATCTACAAAGAAACTTTCCTTCACCTGTCTAGATCTTGGGCCTCCAACCCTTGATGAACTGCATTATTTTTTTTACTTGAAGTTTGGTAAGATGAAAATCCTCAGACAGGATCTCCTCGGTGAGTTGTACAAAGATGCTACCATCGATGCGTTCCCGGGCAAAGAAGCTGACCACATCCTCAGAGAGGCCGATGAAGCGCAAGGACCTAGATACCTCCTCAAGTGACAGTGCGGATAAGTCACCGGGAGGCTGCCAGGGTGAGCCATCCCCATTCAGACGGGCAGGAGGTGCCTCAATGACCCCCTGAGCCAGATAAAGGTGGGTGATGCCACCTTCGGAGCCGTGAACAATGGTGGATGACAAAGGGGCTACTGACGTCCGAATGACAATATTCTCAGCCGTGTCAAAGGGTTTTGATGAGCGAGGTGGTGGTGCAGGACTACAGTGCCCCTCCGGGGAGGAAGTGCCTTCAAAGAGGTCAAAAGTGTCTATGGAAGAGGCTGTTGTCTTCTGCCAATCAAGAGATTCCAACCAATCGGAGGAGCCAGAGGAAGCTGGACTGGAAGAATAGGCTGGATTGGAGAAGGGGTTAAGAGCGCCAAAGGGAGCAAAGCGTTTCTGTGGGGGGGGAGGCTTCAGGCGAGGGCAGCTATAGTAGCTCTTGACGGCGTTGGCATCAGTGCTCCCCAGCAGAGGAGTGGATCTCCCAGTGGCCACACTTGAGCTTGGATCGTTACATGGCCAAGGGTCAGACCAGGAAGACATCTGAGCAGGTGGGGGCTGAGATGGCAACTGTGCTTGAGGGCTGGCCAACTGCCGACTTGTGGATTCCCCAACTTTGCAGTCACTCCATGTGCAGGGGTAGCAATACAAGGAGTAGGAGTCCGGAGATGGGGAGCAACTGCCGCTTCGTGGCCTTGAACTGGCAGGCAAAGAAAACAGACAGCATCAGAGTTAGCTCAAGTAAAATGGGATTTGGAGCTCTCTGATCATAAATCTGGAAAAGATCAGTGTCTTAAAACCACAGTGGACAAATCCAGCAACATCTAAAGATGTGCAACCCACCTCCAGAGTTTTGCCAATGCATTGTTCCAACTTCCTTAATTTGAAAAACCTTGTGCTCACTACTCCAAAGATATCCTTGTTTGACAACAAAGAAGGCTAAGAGACATTCCATGCACATGCAGCATATCCAGTTTCCACAGATTTAAGCATATACAAATCTCTTAAAAAGTGAAAAATTACCATAATCCATCCAATATTGCTTGTGATTAAAAAGGCATTGCTGTCATTTTCATTCAACCTCTTCTAACTCTGGAAGTTTCTTCCCAATCAAGTATATTGTTAGATAAAATATAAATGTTGTTGTTAGTTGCGAAGTCGTGTCCGACCCATCGCAACGCCATGGACAACATCTCTCCAGGCCTTCCTGTCCTCTACCATCCCCTGGAGTCCCTTTAAGCTCATGCCTACTGCTTCACTGACTCCATCCAGCCACCTCATTCTCTGTCGTCCCATTCTTCTTTTGCCCTCAAAATATAGATGCCAGGGGCCAAATGGAAAACAAACTGCCCCTTTTCATTTGGTTTTGTTTTTTTTTGAGACCCACAGAAAGTTCAAAAGTGCCACAGCCCATGATGCTAGAAAATTTAGCCCTCTGTTTAAGTTTTATGCAAAAAAGAGAAAGAACACATTTCCATACTTACCAGGAAATAATAAGATTTTTAATCCTGAGAGTTAATTATACAATATAAATAATACTTTTCCTTTTCCTGTTTGCTGATTCTGTTTTGTCCTAAGCAAATGTTCTAAAATGTACAATATTATGGAAAGCTTAATTATATGTAACAGTATCAGGCGCATAAAGTATCTATCCATTGAAGAAAAGCATGGCTTTGATAAAAGGAGCTATGCCTCCC